GGAGTTGTATCCTTGCTCTGAAATATGTTACTGAATATGTTGTAATGAAATACTTCTTCTAATCATGTGGTTATTAAATTAAAAATTTTTTTAAATTTAAAAATAATAAAGTAGCACCTAAAAAAATATTAAAAAACAGCTTGTTGAAACATCTAAATATAAGTGCTACAGTCCATTCTTTAAGTTTCATTTTTGATACAGCACATAAGTTTCATATCTTCACCAGCTTTATATTCCAGTATCACCTGTCCAAAATTATGCAAATCCTGTCCTAACATAGCTACTTCTAATTGTCACACATATACAGTTATTGTCCATTTTAGTACTTTGTTTATGCTGCTCTACCCACTCTGTACCACTAGCCATTGCTTGTCTGGCTATTTCTCCCTCAGCATTTGTCTCTTTCCCTGGTCCTGCAGATGAGCATCCATATTCCATCTGTGGGTTTTTATAGAGCTGCTCACACTTACCATATTTATTATTGGTTTGCTTTGCCGTCTTCTATACCACAACCTCCCAGAGGAGTGAGACAATCAAACTCATTTTGTTTCGAATGCTCATATACTTCCTAGTAAATAATACCTATTCTTTATGTGTTTAATTTGGGCAAATGAATGTAATGCTGCAGGTAGCTTGGGAAACATTATTAATAAATCCAGAGCTGTTATCTCCTACTGTGTAACTGGACTAGAAGATACATTTGAAAATGTTGAAAGATGACTGACTGTCCTAGTATACTATTAACTCTTTATTGTATGAACAGTAATGATTAAGAGCTTAGCTAATTTCATCCTGAGGTAAAATTAGCCTACTGATCATCATGGCAAATCACTACCAAGATGATCTACACAGATAATGTTCAGCCTTGGAGAATATGTCTCCTGAGAAAGCTGGAGTCTCCCTCTGGATATACAGAGATCAAAGTTGAATTAAAAAATAATAAAGGTAAACTTGAGGACCTAGCAGCAAAATGAGCAAACAGAAATGATATTAATTGGCACAGTGTTCTGGTGTTTGTTTATCTCTTAGTTAACCACGAATTCTAAACTCCAATTAAGAGACACCTCCACACACATCATGGAAAGCAACTAGTGATTAAAAAAATAAAACTTAGGTCCAGAGGTTTATGTTTATTGTCTTGGAGTAGGGTGCTGAAATCACAGTTATGAGAGGGGTTATTAATCCAAGGGGGAAATTTAAGTTCTCTGAAATCACTTCTGTTTTTTAATTCAACTTCTTACCTGCTGGAGGCAGAATGGGCAGAGAATCAGTTGAGTTTCTTATAAAATAGGTTTAATGATAGGTCATATTTGCTGCCAGACTTAATGAGTGGATGTTTATTTTCTTTTTGAAATCTACAGAACACAGATGTTGCAGAGTGTTAAGTAGAGCACATAATAGCAATGTTATTAATTGAGAGATGAATTTGATAAAAGACTTGATTGTCTAGCATTGGAAGACTGTCTGATTCTGTGGCAGAATGTGGTGGACAGTGCTCCCCAAAGAAACACCACTTGTTCAACTTATGAACTGTGCCGTATATGCCTGCATGACTTTATAAACTAGTTTGATATTTGCATTTAAATATCCAGTATCATAAACACAGGAACTATAATCTTTGCTTCATTTTTATTTTCTTTTAAGTTTCGTAGAAACCCCAGCTCATTTCTCTTGGAAAGAAAGCTATTACCGATCCACCATGTCCCAGAGTTCCCAGACAAGTGAATTTCTCAGTCCAGAGGTCTTCCAGCATATTTGGGATTTCCTAGAACAGTAAGTATCGAATAAACAAGAAATGTAACTAAAGTGTTGAAAAAATAAATACAAATGGCTCAAATATTTTTTACTACAGAATGTTTCTAGAATTAGTAAAAAATAAATAAATTATTGTTTGGAAGTTTATTGCCTTCACTATTACCTTCCTATTTAAAATACAATTGTTTTTCCTCTAATTTTAAACATCAAAAGATCATTATTATTGCAGAGCAATATTTCTAGATATTCTAAAGAGTATTTGCAGAACAATCCAAAATATTGTCCCCAAGTCCATTTCTTTGACTTGAAGATTTATCCATTGTTAGGACAATCTGTGACTCCTTGGAGAGAGAAAAGCACTGTATTTTGTTAGTCATTTTAACCTTTCTATGAACAATCAGAAGCAGGTTTTAGTAAGTGAAAATGGGGATGGTAGAGGAAATACAGAGCACTGCCTGCTACTGACCGCTGAGGGTAGGACACAAGAAGACTATCCCTCATCTGTCCATTCTGTCCTGCGTTTCACCCAGCCCGTGACTGTGGTTCCCATTACCAAACAGGATTTAGAGTTGAACTGCAGGAAATTATATATCTGGTAAATGGTTGAGCCAAGATTCAAATCTGGAGTCTCTGACCCTAAGTAAGGACTTACCAATTTTGAAGTAGAAAACTAGTCATTATTTCTAACTAGGTAACTAGTTATTTCTAACTAGTCTCTTCCAAAGATTAACACATACTTTTGTTCCTTTTCTGCTAGGCCTATATGTTCAGTTCAACCCATTGACTTGAACTTTGTGGATGAACCATCAGAAAATGGTACAACAAACAAGATTGAGATTAGCATGGATTGTATTCGCATGCAAGACGCGGACCTAAGTGATCCCATGTGGGTGAGTACCCTGGCTTCCTCTTTGATGTATAGACCAGGATATACACAAATCAGTTGCACCTGACTGTTGAAAGGCATCTAAGAGGCATATGGCTCTGAACAGAGAAGACCACTGGAAAAAGAGCTAACATAGTGAACTGAGAAATGATTAGTTGTTTTGGGTGGATTCTGGATTGTTCTCAGTTTTGTGGGGTCAGAGCTTAGAAATGATTCTTTGCTTCTGAGTTGTTCCTCATGTTAATCCCAAGTTAGAGATGATGATGTGGCCAGGTTTTCAAACTCCTGCAGAGCCAGAGTCTAGATCTCACTCTGTTGGGACCCAGATCCCCCTTCACTTTGGCAACCGTATCCTCTCCAGTTAGCTTTTCTTTAGTGAAGAAGATGAAAAGATGCACATACCCAGGTAATAAAGAAAGAAGAAAACTTAAGCTCTTGTTCTTACACCTGAGTCAATCATGGGATTAGGCCTATTGCCTTTTTAGAAAATGGTGAGGTTTTGACTGGGAATTATACCCAGCAAGCTCAGGAGCTGTGACCATCTAATGGAGCAAAATGATCCTCTGAGATAGGGAAACTTCCTGTGTTTGTGGAGTTGACAGTTCTTACCAGTTTTCTTTCTTTTTAAAATTCTTTTATTCACCAGCTACTTCCTACTTTTTTCTATTAATTTTTTCATTAAGAATTGGGGCAAGAGCTAGGCAGAGAGAAAAAGAGCCAACACAGTCCTGTTGTCATGACTAAGGAGAAGGTTTTAGAAAATGCCCAGCCTTCCTTCTGCAATGTGAGATCTGATTGGAACTTTTACTGTATATTTGCTGTGTACCTATTTGGCATAGGAAACATTTCTTAATATTAAGAGAACATGAAGTAGAGATGCAGAAAGAAGCAACCCAAAACAGAGGACGGTAACATGGTAGAGCACTGATGCTGTCATTGAATTCTTAGTGGCCTTTTCTTTTTGGTTAAGAACCTTGACTGATGAAAAAAGCTGTTAGATAATTCCAAGGCAGAGGTGACAGGAGGCCTTGGAGTGCTTTGTGAGTAAGTATAATATATGTACTTCCCAATTCAGATAAGAAAGAGATGGCTCAGCGGTTAAGAGTACTGACTGCTCTTGCAGAGGACCCAGGTTCGATTCCCAGCAGCCACATGGCAGCTACAAACCGTCCTTAACTCCAGTTCCAGGGGAATCTGACGCCCTCTTCTGACCTCCTCGGCATTGCACGACACATAACGTGCAAGCATGCCTATCAAGTAACATCTAAATCAGATTATGTGGAGGCTGATGAGACTATCCACTTGGTAGATTGTTCAGGACTTTTTCTGGCCCATTAATCATTGCAAATTTTGGTAACACCTGCCTTCAGAAGGGTGCACATTCTTATGTTCTCAAGATTTCTATTCTGTGATTCTTAGCTACATTGAAATAGCAAAAAGTTCTAGGTTTAAAATCACAAGCTTTTACATTTATAGTTTTTATTATCACTATCCTTTGCACATTGACACACATTGTTTCTTCTTGTGCCACGCTGTTCTTTTGTTTCCTTGTGCTCTTGAAAATATCCTCTTGGGGACTATCATTTCCATCTTTTTCTCTCTCTACCCAATTTTTATGTCCCTCACTGCCCTATCTGCCCGACCTTCTCTTGAAATCCTTTCTGGGTTGCTCTTCCCACCCTCTGGAATTAAATACCATTCCTCTGAAGCAAGCCAGGGATATCTTCTGTTATGTTATGTATTACACAATACCGTACTTGTTTATTTCTGTCTCTTAGGGAATCAGGGGCCATATTTTGTCATGCCTAGTTCTAGAGAGCATGAAGCAGGGGTTTGAAGAGGATGGAGTCCGGTTTTGCCAGAGAGAAAAACGATAAGGCACTTGAGGCAGCTGTATGGAAAGGTTAATGAAAGCAGAGAGTGAATTCGTTTGATGAAATAAAAAGGCTGTCTTTCTCTGGGTGCCTTGTTCTTGCCTCAAAAGAACTGATATTCTTCACAACTTACAGTTTATTCTGCCTTGAGTTGTTTTCATCTATGCTAGCACTATTCCAGTACCTTCAAAAATACCTTCATATCTTCATTGATTCTGTATAGGAATGGCAGTTACGCATCTCTGTCTAAATTACAACAGGCCATTTCTAGCGAGCTTGCACAGGATGTTGATAATTAGTGTTCTGGTCTGTAAATTGAAAAGCGGGAGCTTCTGAGAGACGTAGTCCTAAAGTGTTGTGCAACTGGCGTGGGACTTGTTTTCTCTATTGCTTAGTAGCAGATTTTCACTTTACCATTATAGGTTAATTGCTAAATGCTTTCCAAAATCTGTATAGAAATTACTTTCCTCGTCAATATTAATAAGTTGGGAACTCAGCCAAGCCTGTTCTCACTGTGCAAGAAATACAACTCTACAGTGGACATGAAAAGACATGTCAGATTATTAAGGACAGGAATCTTGAAATTAAGATTTCATCCTCTTTTTTCCATGTTTTGGTCCACCCAAGGAATGGAATCACAATGTCTTGCTTTGATTATAAACAAAGGCAATTTGAGTTAAATTGTACATAAGTGCCTTCTTAATTTAGAATGTTTTTAATGCCACTGAAAATTATTTCCATTGTTGGATTACTGGATGAAAAAAGAAATCTATATTTTATTATATTTTCTCAAGTGCCTTTTTTTGAGACAGAGCCTCCTTAGCCCTAGCTGACCTGGAACTTACTATGTAAACTGGGCTGTCTTCCATTCCACAGAGATCAGCCTGCCTCTGCCTCCTGAGTGTTGGGATTAAAGGCATTACCACCATGCCCTGCTCCAGTACTTTTTGATTCTTGATTCTGTTGTTTGATATATCACTGTATTTCTCAGGCTTGTATTACCTGAGATCTGTGCAAGCATGCTTTTTATATTTTTGAAAAGTGGGTAAAAAATTAACACATAAATATTCTCCCAGAATGACAGATGTTGGCCACATAAGACTTTTGCATTTGTCTCTTCTTTGTATTTTATGCTGACTTACATTTTCTCCTAAGAAACTAAGTGGTAACTGAATTTGTAAATCTTTACTCCACAATCCCAGGTACATAGGGGAAGTCTTTAGTTGTACTTATCAACAGACTAATATCTTGGTTGTGTGTGTGTATGTATGTGTATGTGTGAGAAAGAGAGAGAATGGAAATGTGTATGTGAGTGAATGTGTATGTATATGAGTGTGTAAGTGAATGGATGTGAGTGTGTGAGTGAATGTGCGTGTGTATGTGAATGAATGGGTTTAATGGGTTTGTGTATGCATGAGTGACTGTATGTGAGTCTGTGAGAGTGTGTGAATGTGTGTGCATGTGTGTGGCTTAGGCCATAGCACACATCATAATACCCTACGTCTTATATGATACGTGTGATTACCCTCATGGATACTGGTCCAACCACAGTGATTATTTATCAACTACTATTCTGTGTTGTTCCTTGTAATACGTTGACCATGGCATCTTTCCTTAAGAAGACCATGAAATAGAATCAAGGGCAAATAGATACAAAATTACCCATGAAACTTGCTCGGACGTGTGTATATGTTTTATAGAAACATTAAAACAAGAGTAATTTACTGTATCTGAGAAAGACTAGCTATGTTACAGGAAAGGTCATTTGTAATTAGGCTTTGAAGTAAAATTGAACAAAACAGATAAAAGAAAAAGTCCAAGATTGGGTAACTTGCTATCAAAACAGCACTTAAAGAAATTTTAAGAGTTAAGCTTGAAAATCTTGACTAGAGAAAAATTTACATCAGACCAGTATGAATTTAAAATTTGCAATGATTGACAAATTGCAATGATTGACAAAGGTGTAATAGTCTGAATTAAATATTTAAAATTTAATAGTTTATCTTGGAGGGATTAAGGGGAGGAATGGGAAATAACTATGATAAAATACATTGTATGAAATCTTCAAAAAATTAATAAAAATATTAATAAATAAGTCCATTTAGTGGTGCTCAGTCAGTTTTTTACACATACACATACACAATGCTAATAAGAGATAAGGAAAAATTGGAGTTGGGGGGGACATGGGAGGAATGGAAATGCAAATAATATTCTCAAAAAATAAAATCTTTAAATAAAAAGAGTAATGAGAAAGATGAACCCTCCTCACTGGAAAAGGTAATTCACACATGGTGACTGTGTGAGACATAAGATTCTTTAAGCATTTTACAAATTAGAAAGCAATTAATTGAAACCACGAGAGTGTTTATCAGGCTCTCTGATCAACAAGATTTCAATGATTGATCATAGACTGCCAGTGAGTTTACTGACAGTCTTTGGTGTATATAAATTAATATGAAGTATTAGGAGCAATTTACCCTTTGTAATTTATTTAATTTTAAAGGGGTTCTGGCTTTTGCCTATGAGCTTCAGTTCTAAGTATTTATTCCTCAAAACGATTCAGATACAAGTAAGTGTACACACTAGAGCCCCATGCACATATGCATGCACAGTTATGCACACCCACACAGAAATAAAGGCTTCATTACGCTGGTTTCAAGTAACTTACTTGTGAAAACCATGCAGAATCTTATAAACTTCTGGGTTTTAGACTTTTGATAATGAAGAAAGAAACTAAAATTTAAAGCAAAACTTTATCCCATGTGGGGAGATGACACCGTTGGTAATGATGTACGGTTATTTCTGCCAGGTTATTCTATCATCCATTGTCTGAGAACGATTCTATAGAATTGATATTTCCTTTTGCACATTTGGTGGAATTTACCAATGGAACCATCCAGGACTGGGGCATCTTCTTCAGGAGCTAGTGATTCAGTATCTTTATAAGACTATTGAGATTATGCCATGCATAGTGGTGCATGCCTTTAATACCAGCACTCAGGAGGCAGAGGCAGGCAGATCTCTGTGAGTTCAAGGCCAACCTGGTCTACATAGTGCTGGGAGTACAGGGAGACCCTGTCTCATGTAGTTTTTGAGCAATTAATTGATTGTCAATTTTGTTGAGTTTAGG